TCCTGGTTTTTAGTTTTATTCGTGTTTGTCGTGTAGAGGTTCTCAATATTTGTGTGTGATCATAGCGATTAATCATCTTGATTCATTCTGTTGCTTCACTTGCTAGAACGTAACATCTCCATGATGGAGAATGAATATTCTGTACATTTTTACTAATTTGTGTATATTTTCTTTGTCATTCTATGGCTCTTTATATGGAATCTCTTTGGGTGTGAACTATGAGGTCTGATCTAACCCAGGGGCTCTCATCTGGGTGGTCCTGCCCCCAGGGGACACTGGGAGACATCTGGGGACATCTGTGGTCACACTGGGGGTGCTCCTGGCATCGAGTGGGTGGGACCAGGGATGCTGCTCGACCCCCTACAGTGCCCAGGACGGCCCCACACAGAGAATGACACGGCCTCGATGTCCGCAGTGCCGAGGCGGAGACCCTGCTATAAACTAGACGTCCCCTTTTTTGCCGTCCCCACAGCCCACCATCGAGGAAACACTGCCTCTCCCCATGGTTTTGTTTAATCGTTATGTGCACTGGGGCCTCGTGTCTAAGCTCAGATCTGCAATACTCGGGGGTGATTACTCTCCCTTTATAATGATCCCAGCTTCACAGAACATACTGGTCTGTGCTGGGGGGCCTTCCCCATCCTTGTCTTTTGGATGCGCATGTTCCGTTCCTCTGCAGTAGCCGGCTTAAACCTGCTGTCACCTCCCAGCCTTTCCCTGGGAGGCCAGCCCAGGGCCTGGTGGCATCTGTCAAGGTTCTATTTTTAGGCAAACCTCACCCCACATTGTGGCCGGCCTCCCTGGCCTCTCCCTGGCCAGGACCAGAGTCCAGAAGGTGACCTCGCCCCTCCCTCCTGGAGCTGCCCCTGCCGCCCTCTCCCCCAGCTTCCCAAGGCTCTGCCAGTCTTCTGCACCTTTCCGAGGCTTTCCAGGGTGCAGCCAGGTCGGGCGCCCGGCGCCGTCACGTGCTCCTGCGGAGAGCTGGCTGTGAGGAACGTCCCCCGGCTGACTCACCATGGCTGCCTCTTTGGCCTGATCCTGGGGGCACAGCCGGTCCCTGAGTCAGTGCCTGGCGGTGACACTGGCGGGACGAGGGCTGCAGTCTGCTGCAGGGGCTGCCGTGACGCAACCAGCGTCTGGGTCTCGGCCTCCCAGAGAGCTCACAAACACATACACATGTGCACACATCCACACATACCCATGTACACGTAAACACATGCTGACATGCCTACACATGTGTGCACGCACACGCTCTTAGACACAGATGCAAGGACACACACAAACACGTGCACATACACACATTTACATATAAACGTGCACACGTTCACACGTGCACACACATGGAATTGCACAAACACATCTGCACACACACACACACACACACACACGACGCAGCCCTCTGGCCATTCCCAGGGGTCTGGGTTATAACTCAGCCCAGAGGGAGCCTCTGGGGGCCTGGGGCCTGGAGCAGACAGCCAGCAGCACCCAGGGCCTCTGCTTACGACGACGGCCACAGTCAGGGGTGGCCCCACGGGGTGGCCGGGGTGCCAGGGTCCCGGTGGACACCTCCGAGTGTGGGCGCTGAGCAGGATGCCTGGCCTTCCAAGGAAAACACGCGGGGGGCCCACCCGTTTGTCCTCTGTGCGCGTCTATATTTAGCGCTGAGTAATTTCGGTATTTTTAAGCAGAACCAAGGGCGGTTTTCCCTGAGCTGGATGCTTTGTGGCTGCTTTGAAGCTCTCTGCTGAATCAGAGCCCTCTGGAAGCCCACACGTGGGCTCTGTGCGCCTGGAGCAGACACACTCCAGCCTTCTCTGGCCCCAAAGGGGGCCTGGATGTCTGTGGGGAGTGCAGGGGGTACGCAGGGTGGTTGTTTTCAATTGAAACTTGCATGGAGAGCCTGTGGATTGACAGGCAGTCATAACAGACCCCAGAGAGAAATTCCCATGTTTTCCCCACTGGTAACGTTGTTTTCCCCACTGGTAACATTGTGTCAAAATATGACGAGTATCACAAGCAGGATTTCCCGCTGGTGCAAGCCTCCCACCTCGCTCGGGTTTCTGCAGATTACTTGTGTGCGTGTATTCAGCTCTTTGCAAGCTTGTCTCCCATGAGGCGCGTGAATCCACCGCCACAGTCGTCGTTTCCAGCACCACAAGGACCCTCGTGTCACTTTGCTACCCAGCCCTCCTTCCTTCCCTCCCTCCCAGGCCCCCACCTCTGGCGGCCACGAATCTACCCTCCATCGCTACAGTCTTGTCATCTCAGAAACGTTCTATAAGTGTGACCTTTGGGGACTGGCGTTTTTCTCAGCAGAACTCCCTGGAGAACCATCCAAGGGGCTGTGTGTATCAACAGACCGGTCCTTTTTACTGCTAAATAGGAAATTTTTTGAAAATCGGAAATCTGCCTTTGATTTTCTGGAGCTCCCTGGCTCTGCTGACCGCGGACAGACAGTGATAGAGTGTGTCATAAGAGGAACACAGAGGAACACAGCTACTTAGTTACTGGGTTAAATGTCTGCCTGCGGGGACCCCAGCTTCCCGGGACTCTTGAACCCTCCTCCTCACCCCCCAGCACTAACGCTTATGTGGGTTCCACTGGGAGTTTCCTCAGCATGGATGCTGAGGACATTTGGGGCCAGGTCATCCTCTGTGTGGGGCCGTCCTGGGCACTGTGGGGGGTCAAGCAGCATCCCTGGCCTCCACCCACTCGATGCCAGGCGCACCCCCAGTGTGGCAGCCGCAGATGTCCCCAGACATTGCCCAGTGTCCCCTGGGGGGCAGAGTCATCCTGGATGAGAACCACTAGGGCAAGATTGAAGATTAATGGGGTACATCTTCTTAAATGAAGATTGAGTGGAAAAAGCAGAAATTTCACTGCCTTAAGGAACAGAAAAAAATTTGCATAACTGAATTATAAGAATAAATTAACATCACTCCCACATTGCTGGTGGGAATGTAAAATGGTCCAGCCACTCTGGAAAACAGTCTGGCATTTTCTCTAAAAAATTAAACATGCAGTCACACTCCTCAGCGTTCATCCCCAAGAAATAAAGACTTGTGTTTGCACAAATATTTATGACAGCCTTATTCACAAAAGCCAAAAAGCAGAGTTGGCCCAGATGCCCTTTACCAGGGGACCCTGTGGCCCATCCGCGCCATGGAGCACTACTCGGCAGTGGAAAAGGATGAGCCAGTGATACGTGAAGCCACCTGAGTGGATCTCCAGATAATCACGCCAAGTGGACAAAAAAGAAAGGGTTACATACCTATGGTTCCATTTAAATACCATTCTCAAAATGACGGAAGTACAGAAAAGGAGAACCTCTCTGTGGTCACCAGGGGCTGGGGGTGGAGATGCTCGTATCTTCCCCGAATCAGTGTCAACCTCCTGGTCGTGATCTTAGTGCTGTTTTGGAAGATGTGGCTACTGGGGGAGACCGGGCCCAGGAACGTGGGCTCCCTCTCTATATCCGACAGCCACATGTGGGTCCACAGGCATCTCAACATCTAAAATGTAATTAAACATAAATTACTAAAATTGTTTTGGAGAGAAAATAAAAATCATCCCAAACATTAGCGAAGCAGGAATCATTGGTGCCAAGTGGGATTGGCCGTCTCCTAAACTGAGACGTGTGACTCCCAGTTCCCCGGGGGGCAGGGAAGTAAACAGGTCAGTGATTTGCTGCAGAAAAAACAGCAGGCGCCCTCTCACCCTGGAACTGGGTTCGCTGGGGGTCTACCTGGGGTGGGGAGAGGCTTTATCTGGAATCACCCACCCACGCCAAAAGGGTGACTCCACGCTCACCATCCTCGCTCAAGGAAACCGTAGTGTCCCCCCAAATTCGTGTCCCCCCAGAACCTCAGGGTGGGGCCTGATCTGGAAAAAGGGTTTTTGCAGATGTGACGAGTGAAGATGAGGTCGCACTGCAGTGGGGGTCCTGATGCAATATGACTGGTGTCCTTAGAAGAAGAGGGAAATTTGGACACAGACACACACAGGGGAGAGGCAGAGATGGGGGTGATGCGGCCACAAGCCCAGGATGGCAGCCACACCAGACGCTGGGAGAGGCAGGAAGGACCCTCCCCTGGAGCCTCTGGAGGGAGTGCGGCCCCGCCACACCTGGATCTCGGACTTCCAGGATCCAGAATGTGAGAGAATCAATTCTTGCTGTTTTCAGCTGCCCCGTCTGTGATCATTTGTCCCGTCTGCCCCAGGACACTAATAGGGGAACATGAGCCCCAGCACCTCGGAAAGTTCTGGAAAACCCTGCAAAACCAACTGGGCTCCCTCACTCTCTGGTGACTGCCGTCCCTGAGTCTCCCGGAGTTTCTGACGTGATCCCCTCCCCTGTGGGGTCCCCTCGTCCCCCAGAGCCACCCTGTGCAGCACTTCCTGCTCCTGGGCCCCGCTGCGTCCTCAGAGGGGACGTACCCGGAGTCCACGGTGTGCGGTGTTCCCAGGTGATCTGCCTCGGTCCAGAACCAGGGGTCTCACCTGGGCAGTCCTGCCCCCCCAGGCGACACGGGTGACGTCTGGGGACATCTGTGGTTGTCACTGGGGGTGCTCCTGGCATCGAGTGGGTGGGGGCCAGGGATGCTGCTCAACCCCCCACAGCGCCCAGGACGGTCCCCCACAGAGAGTGACCCGGCCCCCATGTCACAGTGCAGGCGGGAGACCTGGAGCAGGGGCATCGATCAGAGGCACCTCCGCTCTGTTCCTCTCTAAGCCCCTCATTCTATGCCACCCAGGAGCTGATGCTGTTGTTGCGTGAACTCTCCTGGGACCCTTGATGGTCACAACCAGCCAGCACTTACCCCCAGCCGGCCACAGGAGGGGACTGGGCCGGCCACCCCGGGGACACAGACAAGGTGGCTGCAGGGCGGCGGGCCGGGCAGCCCCGTGAGGCTTCTGAAAGGGGGGCGTCCTGCCTCTCCATCCCCGGCCCATGGTCCCGGCGCTTCCCAACCCAGCTCACATCCATGTGCTTCCCCCCCAGCTCTCTGGACGGCGGGGCCAGAGCTGATGGCAGACAATGTCAGCCACTAACAACATAGCCCAGGCCCGGAAGCTGGTGGAACAGCTCCGCATCGAAGCCGGGATCGAGCGCATCAAGGTGAGCCAGGCGGGTGGGGGAAGGGAGACCCACCCGCAGAGACCCGAGGAGGCTCGTCAGGAGGGCGGGGTGTGCGCTCTGGCTGGGCCTCTCGCTGTGTGACCTTGGGCCACTCACTTAACCTCTCTGATGCTCAGTCTCCTCAGCAGAAGGGCACAGCTGACATAAACCTTCATCCTGGGTTGTTGTGACATCTGATGTGACACAGTGGGACCACAGTTCTCTATGAACCCGACCCCCAGCCCTTGGGATCCTTCCCCACACAGCCCAGTGAAGGCCACCCCAAGCCGGCCATTCTCTCTCTTCTGTCCCTCTCTCCCTGCCTCACTGGGCAGTCAGCTCTGCAGAATGGCTTTTTTTTAATAATTTGCATAACATGAAGTTAGCCGTTTTTAAAGTGCACAATTCAGTGGCATTTGGTGAACTCAAAATGTTGTGCAGCCGTCACCACTATCTAGTTCCAGAACATTCCATCACCCCAAAAGAAGCCACATCCCCCTCAGCAGTCACTCCTCATCCTCTCCCCCAGCCCCTGACAACCACGAACCCACGTTCTGTCTGTGGATGTGCCTGTTCTGGACATTTCACATCAGTGGAATCACACACCGTGTGGCCTTCTGTGTCTGGTTCTCTCACTGAGCGTCGTGTGTTCAGGGTCCATCTACAATGTGGCTGTGTCAGGGCTTCACTCCTTTTCACGGCCAAGTAATATTCCATCCTATGGTTGGACCACATTGTGTTTATGTAGATGAATTTTAAACCCACAAGGGGACATCAGAACAACATCCAGCGCTCACAAGTTTCCCCCTTTCAAAGGGCATGGACCAGTGGGCCAGTCATGGCCTCTTACATGAGAACGGTGCCTGACACTTTTCAAAGGCACCTTTGTGGCCCAGTAAGGAGCAGGGAGTCTCCATCTAGAAGACCTGAGCGGTTTACGCTTCTAGATTAGCCCTGCTCCAGCTCCCTTCTGGAGTAGCCAGGGTTCTCCTGAAAAACAGAACCAACAGGCTGTATGTATATACATACATAGAGAGTGAGAAAGATAAATGTGTTTTAAAGAATTGGCTCATGTGATCGTGGGGCCTGGCAAGTCTGAAATCTGTAGGGCAGGACCACGGGTAGAGATCCAGGGAAGAGCTGATGTTGCAGCTTGAGTCCCAAGGCAGTCTGGAGGCAGAATTCCTTCCTTCTCAAGGGATCTCAGTCTCTTCTCTGAGGGCCTTCAACTGATTAGATGTGGCCCACCCACTAATGGAGGGTCATCTGCTCTACTCAAAGTTGACTGACTTAAATGTTAATCTCATCTAAAAAATACCTTCATAGAGACATCTGGACTGGTATTTGGCCAAATATCTGGGTACAGTGGCCTAGCCAAGTAGACACATAAAATCAACCATCACCCCGTGTGTTTGTTCAGACCCGGATTTCCTGAGCCCCCGTCATCCCCCAGTCACGACTCGTGGCGGGAATTCACCAGGAAGGGATGGCCCGGCCCCCGGCGCAGACAGACTCACCCCCCATGGCCAGGCAGTCAGAAGGGAGTCAAATGATTGTGATGGGCCCAGCCAGGTGGGGAGGAGGGCTGTGGCAGACCCCTGGGGGGGCGCCCCCCACGAGGTGTCTAAATGTTCCAGAACTCTGCACATTCAAAGCATTCCTTCAGGCTGAAGGCAGGGCACGGGCCCGTTGAAGTGGTTTCTTTCAGGGAGCCGGTGCCAGCCTGGCCCGGCAGGGAGCGATGATTCATCGGGCCGTTTGATGTCCGGGAGGAGTCCCCCGGCCGTCCCTTTGAGAGGCGGGAGGACGGGGGATCAGGACGTGACCCGTTCTCCTTCCTGGTCCCACCTGAGGTTTTGCGTCCCCACAGCATGGCGACCAGAACCGCAGAGCGTCGTGTCTGGAAGGCCAGCCGGCCGAGGCCCGGCAAGCAAGCGGTCCCCCCTCAGCCTGGAAACGGGGCGGCCCGGGCGCCCCGGGGCAGAGCCTTCCTGTCACCCGGGGCGTGGGCGGGGGGGCTACACACTGGAGCCACAACAGCAGCTATTTCCAGGCTCTGGAGACTATTTTCGGCGTCTAGGAAGGACGCTTTCCAAATAAAACTTTAGAAACCCGGCTCCATCACGGTCATCAAAGGGGCAGCCAGGGAGTGGCCCTTGTTCTCCCGACAGTGGTAATTGTCACCGTCTGAGGGTAGGAGCGTCCCCCGGGACGAGCCCGGAGCAGCCTGCAGGCTCTCGGCCGCAGGGGACGAGGTGGGGCGTCCTGGCATCCCGGGACGTGGGGTCTTGGGTGCAGAGACACCACAGAGAGTTTTCAAAGTATTTTCTCAGCCCTGCCTCGACTTACCCTCAAACTCCCCCTGCACGCTGCCGCCTTACAGGTGAGAAAGCAGGGGGCTGAGAAAGGTGTGCCCAGTCCCCCGGGGACACAGTTCCCGCCACTGGGATGAGATCCAGGGGCCCCGTTCGCCCTGGCCCGGGACACCTGAGCCCTGCAGGGTGAGCAGAGTGGGGCGGCGCCTACAGCACCCCCAAACGTGGGACAGGAGGAAGGGGGCGTGTGGCCAAGGGTGGGCAGGGGTGGCTCCCTCGGTTGATGACTCCCCGGGGTTCCTGGACGCTAAGCACCACTTTTTCCCACGTCAGCTTTCCTGGGGCTGAGCTGGACCCTCCCTGCATCTCCTCCCTCCTCTTTTGGGAACCCTGATGCAGGTGTTCCCAAGTGTCAGCCCCTCGCCGGGGTCACCGAGACCCGGAGGGGTTCAGGCAGCACGGAAATGAGATGCAGAAGGGTTTATCTCGTCCCCCTCGGTCCTGCCAACGTTCAGGCAGGACCTCCCTGTCCGGGCCTTTCTCAGGCAGGGAGGGCGTCTTTGACAGAATCCTAGAAGAGTCCACCTCTCCCTGACGCCTTTTGTTCAGAATCTGGGCGACTCCTGCTGAAGGAATTCTTTTGTTTTAAATTGTGGTAAAATACACATAACATAAAATTTATCATTAGTGATCTTTAGTACATTCACAATGTTGTGCAACCATCACCTCTATCTAGTTCCAGAACATTCCATCACCCCAAAAAGAAGCCCCGTCCCCATCAGCAGTCACTCCCCACCCCCTCCCCAGCCCCTGACAACCAGTAACCCACTTTCTGTCTGTGGATGTGCCTGTTCTGGACATTTCACATCAATGGAATCACACACCGTGTGTCCTTCTGTGTCTGGTTCTCTCACTGAGCGTCGTGTGTTCAAGGTCCATCCACGGTGTGGCTGTGTCAGGGCCTCACTCCTCTTCATGGCTGCGTCATATTCCAGTGTGTGGGTGGACACATTGTGTGGATCCATCATCCATCAGTGGACACTGGGGTTGTGTCCACCTTTTGGCCACTGTGAGTGATGCTGTGCGCCTGTGTCACCTTCTTACCTCTCGTCTCTCGTCCTTGTCTCCACACGCAGGTCTCTAAAGCCTCGTCGGAACTCATGAGTTACTGCGAGCAGCATGCCCGGAACGACCCCCTGCTGGTCGGCGTCCCTGCCTCTGAAAACCCCTTTAAGGACAAGAAACCGTGTATTATTCTATAGCTCTGCCTTCCTGTGTGTCCCCCCCACCTCTGTCTCCCCCTCGGTCAGGGCATCATTCAGTACGTAGCCAAGCAAAGCGTTTCCTGTCCCCAAAACTTTTAATTCCAAAAGAAATGCAGAACGTCGCCACCGCCCAGATGGGGTAAAACGTGCCCTCTGGGTTTGGACGGATTTTCAGACCCAACAACGCAGCCCTCTCACGGGCCGGCCGGAAGGGGGGCGGTGGCTTCACACCACTTCCCGTTAGGAATAAGTGAGATGCCCAGGCCACATGGTAACAATTTTTTAAGACTCTCCATTGCCACTTGAGCTGTGGTCCAGCGCCGAGCGGGGCCGGGAAGGGACAGAGGTGGGGGAATTTGCTGCTGGCCCGGGCGACCTGGCCGGTGACCGTTGTCCACTTGTGACGACTTCTGCCAGGTCGATGCTGCCATGCTTCTCTTTTCTTAAGCAGAGTAAAATTGGGTGGGGGACAGGGGAGGGACATAATGAACTTTTGGGGGAAGATTTCTCCTTTTCTTTTAAAAAATTGTGATTCCACACTGCTAAAATCGGATTTTGATGGCTGAAGCTGTAGCTAAACTGTACCATGTAGTAATGCACAGGTGGGTTTTCAGGGCTGGGAGGGGGGCAGGGCCGGGAGGGGGCTTTATCTGTGAAACGCACCCTGTGTCGCCAAATGTCACCCCGCTGTGTGGCCTCTTTATGGCATATGTCCCTCCACAGCCACACCGTGGGCCCCGCCCTTGGCTGGGGACCTGTGCTTTACAGAAGCGGGTTTTCAGCAGCCCGCCCTGGACCCCGGGATGGCCAGGCGTGTTTCGTTTTGTTTTAAGCATGAGAGGGTGATGGGGGCAGTCAGAAGTTGCCATCCTCTGCGGCTCTTCCCAGTGTTTTGTTTTGTTGTTTCCACTTGCACATCGCTGTGGGCAGTTTTCAAACAGAAGTGCAGCCTGGGGAGGCCCAGTGCCTGGGCAGCTGTAAAAAGGCGTTAAGTTATCTGGAAGCAGCCTTGAGGGCCTCACACTTGCCTTCTGAGTGGAGTTCTGCACCCTCCCAGCCGCCTTGCAAAGTTAAGATGTCGTGGGGTTGAAGGATGGGGCGGGAGAGCCTGTTTTAATTCCTTCTCCTCCGTTAGACGTGGAGCAGCCCCCTCCCTCGCCTGCAGCCTCCGGGACCCCACGCAGCCCTGAACTCTGACATCCCCACCTGCCTTGTCACTCGCCACGGGCCGGGCCTGGAGGCAAACGGTGGCAGGAAGGTGGCCCAGCTCTGCCGATGGAAGGCAGGGACTGAGGGCCCAGGTCCTCGCCTCACGGGGCCAGAGCCTTGTGCCCCCCTCCCAGCGCTTCCCACGCCGAGCCCCCGGGGCAGTGCCAAGGCTCAGATCTTGCCAAAGCTGAGAAGGTTCGGTGGGGTGCCCCTCCGTCCCCGCCTGGCCGCCTCCCCCAAGTGCAGACTGCAGGCCGATCCGCCCCCGCACCCAGCTCTCTCCGGCTGGTCCGGGAGCACAGGGGCTTGGGGGGCCCGGCCCCTCCAAAGCTGCGGTTGGATGGAGAACCCTGTAAAGGGTCCTTGATGCTGCAGCTGCCTGTCGCTGGGCAGAGAGCCAGCCGGCCTGGGGGCGCCTCTCCCCATCCACTGCAGAACAGCAGGATGGACCAAGAGGCTGTTCTAGAAGCCCAGGGAGAGCCAGGGCACGGTGGGGATTCACCCCGAGACGTCAGAGGGGACAGGTGGCAGAGTGGGGCTCAGGGAGGCCACGTCTGCCGGCGAGGGCGACCCCTCCCGCCCGGCCCTTCCCACCAGCCGTCTGGCGACTGGTGGCCAGTGCACCCCGTTTGCTCCGAGAAAGAAGCCTTAATCACTTGAGCCGTCCTTGGACACCCGCCCTTCCTCCTGTGTCCCCCGCCGTCCCCGTCCTCTGGCCACCAGGCCCCAGAGAGGACAAGAGGTCCTGATCTCAGCATCAGGAACACGCCAGGGGCCCAGACGCTCCCCCAACCCCCAGCCCTGCCAGCTGTGCCATGCCCCACCGTGTGTCCCCACCCGAGCGCCCCCGGAGAAGCCAGCGGGAAGCCAAGCCAGGAACCCCGCCGGGGGAAGTGGGGTGATCGCCCACTCTGGGCTCAGCCAGCCAACGTCCTCCCGCCCCCCAGCCCTGAGGCAAACTCAGACCCGGGCGGGGAGAGGCTCCCCAGTCAGACACTCCGGAGACTGAGCCTTCTGGGGAAACTGAGGCCCAGAGGGAACGAGGACAGGCTGTCCGCCCGCCCCACTGCCGCTCCTTCTCAGCTGCCTCCCCTGGTGCCCACTGCCCCGTCCCCTGAGCCTGGCAAGCAGGTGCCCACAGCCTTGGACCCAGGGTGGCGGCGATGGGCAGAAGCCTCACCGTGGGTTTCCTTCTAGCTGAGAAGAACCCTCCTTTTCCCTCCCCCCTTTAGAGTAAATCTCGTGTCCGTAGTGTAGACCAGCATCAGCGGAGACGGCTCCTGCCGTCTTGGGCAAGTGGCCGGCATGACAACGTGGTCTTCGGGACTGTTATGTGCCCCGCGAGGCAGGGGGCTGGCGGTGGTGGCAGCATGGACCTGGGCGAAACCAGCATCTCCCAACCATGTCATGGGGGGAAGTTAAGGATACACACGCACCCCCAAAAAAGGGCAGGAGTGGGAAACACAGAGCCCCCCCTTTCTTCTGCAGCCCAGTTCAGTGTTTCCAGGGGGCCCAGCTGAGCCCTTGGCCGTGGGGGCACTTCCCCTCCCCTCCCCCATCCCCCCCACAGGTGACCCCCCCCCCCAGGCCAAGAATTAAGGGCCTCGGTTGTGACCTCCAGCTCGGGGACGTAAGCCGCTGGGCCAGGCCGGGCGGAAGGTGCTGTCTTCTGATGTCCCGGCCACCGAGGGGGGACAACGCTGGGCCTCTGGGCAGCCCATCCATCTGTGACCAGCCGCACCCCTGCTCGAGCTCTGGGGCGGGCAGGAAAGGCCATCGGACCCCCACCCCACGCGAGTGACCGGGGCAGTTTCTGGCCTGAGGCGAGGCCACCAAGGTCGCTTTCCTTTAGGAGCACTCATAAAAGCCCGCCCGCCACGGGGTCCCCTGACAGAAGCCATATGTCGGACTCTCGCCCCCTCTTTCTCTGTCCACGGAAACCCTTGCCAAACGTTGTGAAGTCCCCGGCTTTCGGAAGCCATCTGTGGTTCCCGCAAGTTCTACCCCACCTGTGTGTGGATGTCCCGTGGTTTTTATTTCTGATTTTTAAAAAAAATTCCAAGTGTTCACCGCCCACTTTCTCGCAGTGTTTTAATATCATGTGGAATTGTTAATACAAAGTGAATTAATCCACAATAAAAAGGCTCACTTCCTTTTCTCCCGGCTCTGGGCCCTTCCTGCTCTCCCTGGCGGCCGCTTGTGGGGAGGATGGGGCGGGATGCACGGGCTGGGCTGCAGCAGAGGTGAGAGGCTGCCTGCACCTTCCCCACCCCTCCCCTGCCCGGGGAAGAGGCGACACGGATGGAACCGGGCCTCGGGCAGCAGCAGAAATGAGTCACCTTCGGCTGCAATGGGCTTTCCAATTTGCAGACAAAGATATTTAGGGGAATAAGCTATTTGAGGGTCTGCACACACAAGGGCCATGTGTCCCACGGTTCGGGATGCTCGCTGTTTGGCACGGCCGTGGGAAAGCGCCTTGGTCCCCTGAGGGCTTGGAGCCTGGGAAGATCTTAATCTCACCACTTCAGTCTTGTTCCCCTGCCCTCCCATCGGCCGGAGACCACCCCTGACCACCAGACGCCAAGTGAGTCATGGCCCCAGTTCACACCACACACTTAGTAGTAAGTCTGTAAACTGGTGATTCTGACCTCTGAGCAGAGAAGATCTTTCTCTGTGTAAAACACTTATAGATTCAACTGCGTAAAAATTATCCCCTATGCATCAAAAGGTACAAGATTAGAAGGCAGTTCAGAAACCTAAACATAGAATCACTCCAGGACCCCGAGTATGTACACAGAAGAATTCAAAGCAGGGACTCAAACAGATAATTGCACATCCGTGTCCACAGCAGCATAATTCACAACAGCCAAAAGGTGGAAACACCCCAAGTGTCCACCAACAGGTGAATGGATGAACAAGATGTGGTCCATCCAGACGCTGGAATATTACTCAGCCATGAAAAGGAGGGAGATCCTGACACCTGCTCCAGCGTGGATGGACCTTGAGGACATGATGCTCAGTGACATGAGCCAGACGCAGAAGGATAGATACTGTGTGATCCCCTCACAGGAGGCCCCTAGAGGAGTCACATCCACAGAGACAGAAAGTAGACGGTGGGGCCAGGGGCTGGGGGAGGGGAGGGGAGTCAGTGTTTCATGGGGACAGAGTCTCAGTTTGGGAGGGTGAGAAAGTTCTGGAGACAGATGGTGGGGATGGTTGCACAACAGTGTGAACGTGCTTCATGCCACTGAGCTGTGCACTTAAAAATGGTTAAAATGGTGGGACCGGCCTGTTGGCGCAAGTGGTTAAGTGCACGTACTCCGCTGCTGGCGGCCCGGGTTCGGATCCCGGGTGCGCACCGACGCACCGTTGTTAAGCCATGCTGTGGCGGCGTCCCATATAAAGTAGAGGAAGATGGGCACAGATGTTAGCCCAGGGCCAGTCTTCCTCAAAAAAAAAAAAAAAAAAAAAAAAGGAGGATTGGCATCAGATTGGCTCAGGGCTGGTCTTCCTCACACACACAAAAAAATGGTAAATTTCATGTTATGTATATTTTACCACAAAAAGAAAAAAACACACAACCTTACCCCACACCCACCTGAATGGCTAAAATTTAGCAGATTGGTGTTGCTGAGGCTGTGGAGTGGCCTGAACTCTCAGAGCTCGTTCAGGGGCGTGTGAAATGCTACAAGCACTTTAGGAAAAGGTCTGGCAGTTTCTATAAAACTAAACACACACCTACTCCCTGACCGGGCAGTTCCACACACGGGTGTTTACCCAGAAGAAATCAAAACACATGTCCACGGAGAGTCTTGGAGGAATGTTCAGAGCAGCTTTTCTCATCAGAGCCACACCTGGAAACATCTCGGGTACCCAGCAGCAGGTGAATGGACGACACACTGGGATCTGTTCAGACCCCGGATCCCACCCGGCAGGATGGCGGAATAAGCTACCACTCAGGGCAGTAACCTGGGAGACTCGCACA